GGGGGAACTTGCACAATCGGTGGCTGACTAAATACTTTTTTGCCCCACTGTATATATTGTGATGTGATGTGATTGCTCAATGCTGAGTTTAGCAATCACTGTATTGGGTAACTGTTTTATTTAGCCACACTGCAAAATGTTTTTTATTTGGTCAAAGATCACTTCATGTAAACCTATTGGAATTTTGAATCAGCACTTGAGCAAAGGGAATTGTAAACATTTTAATTGTGTTGGAAAGACAGAAGCACATGAAGACTTGCAGATGTGTAACTTTTCTTGTTGTTCCCAAACATCAAAGATTTGTAGATGTTTGTGTATTGATTTTTAACAATGCTTTCCCCCCCTGAGTTATACTGTAATGAGGCTGTATTGTGTTTACATGATGGTTAAGGAAATTATTAATCTTATTGGTCATGAAATACACAAAAAAATAAAACGTTTGTGATTACAGCAAATAACCGTTATGGTCTTTTTCATCTGTTTGCTACTTTAACTGCTTAAATATGCTCTGATATGGTCTTCTTCATAATTACAGTTGATGGATAGCAAACAGTGATTCTAAGATATACTCGCCTTTCATTTAATAGAAGTACTTTTAATTGGATGTGTTTGTCACAAATTTTGACATTTCTATTTCAGGTAACTGGTAGCGTCTTATGGCTGGCAATTTCAGTTCATTTAAAAAGTTTCTAAGGCAGGTCAGAGAGATACAGTGAGCTCTTGCAGACTATGTTTGAATTGCTGGTTCCATTAGAGTTCCATTTTAATTTCAGTGTGTGAAGAGTGCTGCAAAGTTATAGCAGCAAGTTGAAGAGACTCTAAGGTCTTCATGACAAACCCTTCTCCTTGTAAAGACACTTTAACAACCAACAGACACTTGAAGGCCTATACCACTAAAAACGTTTGGACTACTGGAAATCTTCGCTTCATCGCTCAGGATCTTTGTACGCCGTCAAGTAGGCGAAAGGGTGGTTCCACAGTGTGTGGCATCAACTGTTTGCCTGCCCGGCGGCCTGCCACTACATTCTGTAAAGAAAGCTTATCATGTGATTTTCTTTTTTATGGTTATAGTCAGACTCTCACTCTATTCTTACTCTCAGTTACTGTTTTACAAAGTTGGGGAGCTGCATGTGTTTAAAATTTTGCTATTGCACAATATGATGAGTTAAGAAAATCTGCTGTGTAATTCAAAGCAGTCCCTTTTTAAAGCTTCTGCTCAATAGATTTCATGAAGCTAGAACTTCGCCTTAACTCATCCTCCTTCTCATGTAGAGCTGTCCAATCACATTTGGGAACCTCCCACCAGAGGAGTTGCTCAGTTTAATGCAGTTTTTTTTTCTTTTCCAATTTTCATCAGACATTTCTGCTCTACTTCGCTGAACTTAGCTTAACACAATTTGTGTGTTCACAACACTGCACCTGGGTTTGAAAAAGCTGCATTCAAGGTCCAACATTGAGTTTTTTATTTTCTTCAAGTAAGTTAAGTAAGTTAAAACATGTTTTTTAAATGTGCATTTCTTTATAATCATGTATTACATAGTATGTGATAGGGGTGGGGGGAAAAATCGATACTGTGTAGTGTCGTGATATTTTGTTTGCTAATAATGTATCGATACAGGGACAGCAGAAATCGATATTTTGTTACAAAAAGGTTTTTGTGGACTGGAACATGCTCTGACTTCAGTGCATGTTGATCCTTTTTCTGAG